CGTCATACCGTTTGTGACTGATCGACCGTTTGAGCTTATGGCTTGTGGTGAACTTCACGCTATTGATAGAAGTGTCATCGCCGCCTCTGATGATCATTTGGACGGTGCGGGTTGGCGAGGGCGGTTTCGATGGTCCCTGATGCTATTCACGTCCTCTAGCAAAGCTCGTCCTTCCCCGATCGCTCAACAACTCTTTGAGGTGTCCTTATCAAAGCATGTTTACGACCTCATGTCTTAGGGCGATGCAATCCTCGGTTTTGTATCCTCATTTTTGGTGGAACTTACAAAGGGCATCTGACTTTCTGGTGCTTGGATCCGACCTCATCTTTTATGGCCACTTTACTTTTGGTCCGAGCTTCTCCAATGCATAGACTATTTTTGAAGGTGACACACAAAAATTGTGAGCATATAACAAAGGGGGCATACCCTTTTCATTCTGGTGAGTCCCTGTCATTGGCCTGGGTGGGCCCTCTTCATGGCGGGAGGGGAAGCAATGGCGCTTCTAACATATGGTATATATCATTCCTAGTTGGGTCGCGGAGCTACGAGGTCCCTCCTAACATCATTTCTGCAATCTTTTCTGGATTTGGTTTGTACTGAGGTCAATTGATGGGTCAGCCCGTTGAGATCGTCCTCGTCTGCTCGTACCTCAGCACAATATGCATTGTGTATCTCATCCCAAGTAGTTTGGGGGAGGGGTACTTCATAAGCCGACTTAGTAGTTTTCTCGTTGCACTTGAAACATTTCTGTTCAGCCCGTTCCGGAAAGCTACAACCACCATCCCTTTTGATGCATTTGGCAAGGTCATCCTTACTCAATTGAAACAGGAGATGAAGTCCCTTAGTCCCTCCCCCGAAGACTGTTTGATAGCAAATATATCGTTTACTCTCGCTTCGGCCTTTTTGGCCCTAGCGTGGGCTGTTATGAACTTGTCGGCCATTTCTTCGAAGGTCTTAATGGAATGCGTAAGCACTTGTGAATACCATGTCAATGCGCCTCCCGTGAGGGTTTCTTCGAATTTCTTAAGCAAAATGGAGGATACTTGTTCCTTGGCGAGATCATTGCCTTTCACAGCGGTGACGTAGTGAGTTACATGGTCTTCAAGATCGGCCGTTCCATCATATATTTTCAGTTAGGGTGACATTTTAAAGGTTTTTGGTATGGCATGCGAGGCGGCATCATCACTGTGTGGCTGCTCGACAAACCGACCAACATCTATTTTTGGTAAGAGTTTCGGGGCACCTGGTATCTTATCGCCCCTTTCTTGGTGCTCTCTCATTTGGTCCCTAAGTACCTTGTTCTCGTTTTCCATTTCTTCCATCCTTTTCAAAATGGCTGCGAGGGAGTCGTCACCTACATTATTAATGACGTTGTAAGCAATACATGTCATTGGAGGAAATGGGTCACGCTACTCATCCGCTGGTGGTATAACGCAAGTCCTTGCGTTTTCTACAATCAGAGCGGGCTTATGGAGGATGCTGGTTAGCGTGTAAGTTAGCCACGCCTCGAGGAGCCTTTTTACTGCTGATGGTGTCTCTTCCACCACGGACGTGGAAGCTCCCTTACCGTGAGATTTTGTGATGCTACAGTGAGGAGGGGGTGATCCGCCTCGCTTAGGGGAGGCGTTGGGCGTTGTATCCTCGTCCTCTACTCCAGACATCTCATTGATGGTGTTCATGAGGTTGGTTATGAGGTTGCCCGCTACTCTCATTCTTTCCTCTTTGTTACTTGCCATATTAGATCTGTGCGCACAAAGAAAAGAGGTTCATTATGTTTTTTTTACGTTATTAGCAGTCCGTGTTAGTTATAGATCTAGAGGAAACTAAAAATTTAACTAAATAATCCCCACAGACATGCCAAATTGTTTGATAAAAAAGTATAAACTTTCGGTTAAACTATTATTTTTTATGTAATGAAGGCTAAACTTAGTTAATGATAATATCTCTAGATATAGATCTTGAAAACACGAATAATGTAAGACAAAGTTAGTGAGATATTGAAAATAACATGTATTTAATATTCCAAAAGGTATGAACAATGATGGAGGAGTAACTAGCCATAAATAACAATAAATGACATTTAAGTAAATAAGGGGAGTGATTCACCAAACAAATGAACGAGGTAGATGATTGTTCCTTCTAACAATGATGAGTGACAGACAAATCCTAGAATGTTCAAACTATTAACGGATCTGATTGAAAAATATGGAATAATGTGATTAAGAATATTGATGGAAAGGTAAAGTGTATCTCTTTTCTAGAGAGAGAGAGAATCTTCTAAAAAAAGTGTTCTTATCAAGTGAATATTACATGCCCTATCCCATTATCTCTTTTTCTATTTATATGAGACATGTCTATGATAAACCCTAATAGTACAAGTGCAGAGAATATCTTCTTTAATATCCTATTTCAATCGCTAGTTGTTACCGTTCTTTACACGATGCTCGACCTCGATCATGGCGACATCTCGGCCATGAACCCTCGTGCTGCTTTTTGGTCGACCTCGACCAACTTTTTCCTTAATGCCATTTTACGATAAATATCCTTAGGGCAAATTTTGGCCTATACAAATACCGAAGAATCGATACTGAATTAATTCGATGTGTTTCAATTTTTCGGATTTTATGTCCACCCCTAGCTAAAACTACTCTCCGTCCGAAACTACTCAAAATCGGGAAAATTTTGTTTTGTATCTCATACAACTGACATTAATTGTATGAGACACGTTTTTGTCTCACAATTTTGTGGGCCCAAATTTTTGTGAATTCAGAAATGTAAGATTGAGATCCACAAATTTGTGAGACAAAAAAGAGTCTCATACAACTAGTGTCAGTTGCATGAGACACAAAATAAAACTTATCCTCAGAACCGACAACGTATTTACGTTCTTAAAGTTTAACGACACCGCCCTATCGTTCTCTTTCTTCGGCGGCGAGTATTCAGATTCAGGTTTCCCTCATCTTCAAAATTCAAATATCAGTCCCTAATCCGTAATTAACTCCCGATCCATGTCCATTTTGCTAACATCCCATAAAACCTTTTTGTATTTTATATAAAAGCCTCCTTTTTCTCCTCTCAAAATCAAAACCCTTCGCCATCCCCTCTCTTCTCCTGTAGATATATAAGTACTCCTCTCTATCTGCTAGGGTTTTCATTTGAATTCATCGAGGATGTCGTTGAGGCCGAACGCGAGAACCGAGGTTCGTCGGAACCGGTATAAAGTAGCGGTGGACGCGGAAGAAGGTCGGCGGAGGAGAGAGGATAACATGGTTGAGATTCGTAAGAATAAGAGAGAGGAGAACTTGCAGAAGAAACGCCGTGAAGGCCTTCAGCCTAATCAACAATTTTCTCTTCCTGCTCACACCACCGTCGAAAAGAAGGTCAATAGTAAACATCTTTTCTGTTTTCTTACTGCAGTGATTGTTTGTTAAGCTGTAAATTTAGATCGGATTAAGTTTCTCGCTTTATACCTTTTGTATTTTCCTAATTTAGGTGCTTGTCGGTTGAATAATGTTTTTCGTTAGGGTTAGAGTTTGAAGCTAGAAAAATGTTAAGGTAGATTGTGAGATTTAGTATTTTCAAGTTAATAGTACTCTTCGAGATCATGAATTGAATTTGGACTAGTATTTTCATCCATTTTAAGCTATATTGTTTTCCTTTTTTGGTGTTTTTAAAATTATTTTATACATTACAACAACAACAACAAACACAGTGAGAATTCCACAAGTGGGGTTTGGAAAAATAGGATGTACACAGATCTTACCCCGATCTTCGTGAAGGTAGAGATATTGTTTTCGATAGACCCTCGGCACAATAAAATATGTAAAAGAAGCAATAGCAGCAAGTAGTACCAACAACACAATGTTAGATAAATCGAAGCGAAAGAGACAATAAAGTGGATAGGAGTAAGAAACAGAACAACATAGAGTAATAACTAAGCCTAAAGGAATGCAGGAGCAATATGAATATTACTGGTATGGAAAAGAAAAACACTTAGTAACCTACTAATCCTCTATCCTAATCCTTGACCTCGACACGCTCTTATTAAGGGTTATATCCACGGTTAGCTATAGTTGTGCCATGTCCTGCCTAATCACCTTTTACCACAACTTCTTTAGCCTACCTATACGTCTCCTCATACCCACCACGGCTAACGTCTTGCATCTCCTAATTGGGCCAGTTGTGTCCTTCCCTTCACATGCCCAAATCATCTTAACCTCACTTCTAGCATCTTGTCCTCCACAGAGACCACTTTCACCTTGTCCCTAATATTTTCATTCCTAATCTTATCTCTCCTGGTATGCCCACACATCCATCTCAACATTCTCATTTCTACCACTTTCATCTTCTGGATGTGAGATTTCTTGACAGGTTAATACTCTGCCTCATACAACATAGTCGGTCTTACCACTATTCTATTCTATAGAACTTACCTTTAAGTCTTAAAGGTACATTCTTGTCACATAACATACCTGATGCTAACCTCCATTTCATCCACCCCGCTCCAATACGATGTGTGACATCATGTCAATCTCCCCGTTATCTTGGATTATTGACCCAAGGTACTTAAAACTAGCTCTCTTGGGGATGACTCGTGGACGTAAGGCTTGACTCACGAGCCATATTATTGAATATTGGAAAGAAATGGGCCATATGGAGCTAATCAGATATTGAGGATTCCTATGGTTGAAACAGCAGTCGCTTGTGTCCTAGTGATGGGTCAAGTGTCCGATAGATGTGGCTTTTCTTTCATGCCAGATGGGAGACTTTCTCTAACTATTTTAGAAGTTCCTCTTTCCCCCCCTTTCCTTCTACATGAAGAAGTTTCTTGTGTTATTTTTGAGAAGCATATAAGAATTATTGGTCAGTCTGAAATGGTTTTGTTTACTGTGTTGACTTATTCAAAGTGTTCATTGAGCTTCTTTTCTGCGCTATGGGAGACTTGTGTCCTTCAAATATAGAAATGGATAGCGGATATTGATTAACGTTTGTGTTTGCAGCTAGAGAACTTACCAGCAATGGTTGCGGGTGTGTGGACGGAAGATGGAAATCTACAACTTGAGGCTACTACTCAGTTTCGGAAGCTGCTCTCGATAGGTAATCATTGTTTTTGTGGGTTTGTGTTATTGTTTTACTCCTCTCTTGTGGTTACTTGGACTTTCAGATAATCTCTCTGATCATACTATCAACAGAAAGGAGTCCGCCAATTGAGGAAGTAATTCAAGCTGGTGTTGTTCCTCGTTTTGTTCAATTTCTTGTGAGGGACGACTTTCCACAACTTCAGGTGTTTGCCACCTTGCTTTCTTATTTTTGAATTTTCCTATGGGAAGAGAAGTAGTGCGATAACACCTTAGCTTTTCCCTTCAATGGTTTTAGTTTGAGGCAGCATGGGCTCTCACAAACATTGCTTCTGGGACATCTGAGCATACCAAGGTGGTGATTGAATCTGGTGCAGTCCCAATTTTTGTGAAACTTCTTGGTTCTCCTAGTGATGATGTGCGAGAGCAGGTATATACTAGTAGAGGCAAATTGAAACTTTCATAAGTTATTTATGGCCGTTTGTCTCTGTGAACTGTTATCAGTTATTGAATGTTAGTGTTTGATTTATGGTATTGAGAACATTTTGGATATTCTCCTTTCCTCATTTAGGCTGTGTGGGCTCTAGGAAATGTTGCTGGTGATTCCCCAAAGTGCCGCGATCTTGTTCTTAGCTGTGGAGCTCTAGTTCCCTTGCTATCTCAGCTGAATCCAAATGCCAAGCTGTCTATGTTGAGAAATGCGACGTGGACACTTTCAAATTTCTGCAGAGGCAAACCACAGCCTGCCTTTGATCAGGTGGATCCTTAAGGCTTGATTAGCTATTAACTCTTCTAAATTGCAAATATAAAGTGGTGATCTCTGGTAAGTGCTCTTTCATTTATAAAGATTTGCTGTAACAGATAGTACAGTTGTGTATGGTTCATATTAGTCACATTCTTCACTGATGCTGAGCAATAACTAATTCTATTTGCTCATCCATAGTGTTGTTTGGTGGCTTGTTCCATCTTTCTCAAAAGCTGTAGACGATTCATGCTTTTGATCAGGTGGATCCTTAAGGCTTGATTAGCTATTAACTCTTCTAAATTGCAAATATAAAGTGGTGATCTCTGATAAGTGCTCTTTCATTTATAAAGATTTGCTGTAACAGATAGTACAGTTGTGTATGGTTCATATTAGTCACATTCTTCACTGATGCTGAGCAATAACTAATTCTATTTGCTCATCCATAGTGTTGTTTGGTGGCTTGTTCCATCTTTCTCAAAAGCTGATAGACGATTCATGCTTTATGAATTGAGCTCAATCCTGGATAAACTTTTTGTTTTTGCACTCAGTGAGGCTTTATTAAAGATTATTAGCAACCAGCACGGATGTCTAAATACTGTTGGCCTGCCAACCCAATAGATGTCTTTTTACTGGGAGCAAGTTGAACAATTTTTATTTCTGGTTAGTATTTGGTTCTGAACAAACTATGAGTGCAAGCTTCTTTGTCACTTCCATAATATAACTATGTGATTTTCTTGTTGGTATTGTTGAACAACATTGTTAAAACTATCATTTTCAACTATGTATCATTAAGGTACTCATTCTTATATTTAGCTTTAGAATATTATGTGTCCTTACTTGTGCAATTTATACACTTATACTTCTTAGGTGCGTTAATTTCAAAGTAATACTTGATATACAGAGGACAAACCTGATAATGTTGATGATTCTATGCATATCTAAACCTGTAAACTTGATTGTGCAGACAAGGCCCGCACTTCCAGCTCTTCAACAACTTATTCATTTAACCGATGAAGAAGTTTTGACTGATGCTTGTTGGGCGCTCTCATATCTCTCGGATGGTACAAATGATAAAATTCAAGCTGTTATTGATTCTGGAGTATGCCCGCGTTTAATTGAGTTATTACTGTAAGTGCTTGGTATTGTTCCAGTTTATTTTTGGTTGTGAAGCGCTTAAAAATTCTCCTTTCTTTATATAGGTTATTTTTGTATTTCCTGATTCTAACTGACTGATTTAAACATGGTAGTCACCCGTCCCCATCGGTTTTGATTCCCGCGCTTCGGACAGTTGGAAATATTGTGACCGGAGATGATATGCAAACTCAGGTAAAATTTAGATGGATGTTACTCTTTTCCAATTTTTTATACTCGCTGATGATACAACAGCTAATTGTTCTCTGCATTTGATACAATTATCAATGAATTAATAATGGTGGAAGGAATTGGTAATATCTTTAGTATAAGTCAAAGCTTATGGCAAGTGGGAGCTCTACGCTCTGAATTTACTTTATGTTGCTTAGTTTTCACTGAATCTAGCTAAACATAGTGCATGTTTAGTTTATGTGATGAAGTGGAATAATTTCAAATTTGCATGCAACATAGCGCTTGTCCCGACTTTGAAATGCAAAAGTTTATAAGGGAACAAGTCGTTTTAATCCCTTTCTTTCGAGAACAAGAGACAAAATTAGTCCCTAGTCGAGGTGGGAATAAAATCAAGATAAGAGCCTCATCATAGAATGAATATATGTGTGTTTACATACACTCATTTATGCCTTCACTTAAACTTTGCTCTATCTAAATTACTATTGTTATATGTTGTTAAAGAAATGACTTTGGGTCTAACTCCACCCCAAAAGCTAGTTCATGCGGTGAGGATTATCCAAGGCATATTAAAGAGACCACCCATCCTTTAAAGCATCAGTGTGGGACTTATCGTCCCCCCTCCATGCACAGGGCTGAACATATGGAGCGTGGGCAATTTAATATGGGGGCTCAGCATCGAGAAACAACAACTGGGATGAGTCCTACTCTAATACCATGTTAAAGAAATGAACCTTGAGTCTAACTCAACCTCAAAAGGTAGAAGTTAGCTCATGAGATGAGGATTGTTCAAGCCATATTAAGGAGACCACCATCCCTTAAAGTACTGTTGTGGGACTTTTAATATATGTTTTATGTTGAAGGCTCATAGAGCTTTAGTCTAGTGGTAAGAGGTAGCTTGTGATGTGTTGGTTCGGCGCACATTATAGGTTCGAAACTTTTTGCAGATTAAAGGACTGATATTTAAGTGGTGAAGGTAGAGAGGGGCTTACTCATTATCCATTGAGTTTCGAACCTTGTGCTGCTGGTCCTTAGGGCTTTCTCAATTGTTTAGAAAACTATATGTTTCATCTTTAAGACATCTTAGGTTCTCTAGGCTTTTTTTTTTATGTCCATCATTATCATTTGAATTTTCTTAGTGTAGTTGTGAAAGAATTTATATTTTACTCTCTTTGTCCCAATTTATTTGATGGTGTTTTTTTGGGGCACAGAGTTTAAGAAAAAAAAGACTTTTGAAACTTATGGTCTAAAATAAGCCATAGAGAAGTGTGTGGCTATAAATTATTTTATTAAGGTAAAATAGGAAGTTTAAAGTTAAATTGTTATTAATATAGAAAGATGTCATTTTTTTGGGACTAACTAAAAAGTAATGTTTTTTTACTAATTTTAATTCTTAATTATGTTATACATTTTTTATATTTGGTTCACATTATACAATTCTTCAAAATCTAATGAAATACAAATTTAGTGAAGTTTGCCTTTCTCATCCCGGGGCGTTTTTTGGTCAATTATGTCTATCTAAATCTTTATCCAGCACTACAGAAATGTGATCAGATAATTGAGAAGATGTTTCTGAATTTTTTTTTGTGTTAACCAACCTCATGTGGAGTTCTGTTGGAGGATGATTCATTCTAAAACATCTCATCCTAGTTTATTCTTTTTGCAGACCAAATATTCACCTAATAAATTGCAATACATAATGTTAGTATCTATTAGTTAAGTTTCTCGGACACGGGTGCGGATCTAGAGATTGGATCCTTCGAGATGTAAATTCTAAGATTCGGGAATATGGATCCTAGTACTGATACGAGAGTAGGTATCCGACTAAAAATAATTCAAAAAAATACAGCAACAACATCCCAGCAAAATCCCACAGGTGAGGGGTCTGAGGAGGGTAGTGTGTACGCAGACCTTACCCCTAACTCGATGGGTTAGAGAGGCTGTTTCCGAAATCCAACAATAAAAATAAAATAAAAGTATCTTTGCATTATGAGAAATTTTGTGGAATAATTATGTATCGCTTGTAAAGTGCGGATTTCTTTTTTATTCAGTTCTGATTTCGAGAATCAAATTGTGTCTTGTCTCAAATTTTTCTATCCGTCGGGGTCAAAGTACCCAAAATTGTTTGACCAAATCCGATATGGATCCCATACACACACCCATACTAGTACCGTATCGATACGGTTGCTGCACCTAAACTGCCATGTCAGAGCAACTTAGTCTGTCAGCAGTTGTCACGTGCATACTCGAGGAAAGATATGTGGTCAACACATTACATATAGGTTTTTTTTCCTGTTGCTAAATGGTTCCTTTTTCACTGTAAATTGTTCCCATTTTTTCCACTGAATTTGTAGCTGTGTTAGTTTATGATTTTCTTCTCCTAGTTTCTTTGTTCTGTTGAACATTCCCATGCATCTCTAATCTGCATTGATTCGCTTCCTACAGCTGTTGAGATATTGTTTACCTCGTTGCAAATTGGGATAAATGATAAATTTATTTAGGTGTTTCCTAAAATAGTAAAATAAAACTCGGTCTCTTCTTTTCTGATGATAGGTGAAATGTTTCCGTATTATGTTCCTTGAACTAGGTAATAGAGAGAGGATTTTGGACACCCTGAGATTTCTGAACTTCCCATTTTAAACTGCATTACTTGGCATTGAGACATGCATCTTGGACCACAAATTGTATTTGCCAATCTTTGCTGTATTAGGGTCTGTCTATGCTCAACATAATGGTTTTGATCTGTGGGATCATATCTTCTTGTGATGGTTGGTGATTTTGTTCTGCTTTGTCTTTCTTTTTCATTTTTTTGTCTTAAACTATGGTTGTGTATCTGTGGTTTGTTGTTTGATGCCAGATAATGAAACTTATTTTTCTAACTAATCAAATCCTTTTCTTATTATTTCATTGTTTCATACCTTATCAAAAAGGGTCTGATACCTTGAGGAGAAAAGGTTATCTTGTTGTCTGATATCATAAGAGAAAAGGGTATCTTGTTCTTTGATACCCTGAGAAAAAAAGGTATATTGTTGTCCGATGTCAAATGCTGAAGCTTACTTTTCTTACTAATAAAATTTCTTCTCAGTGTATCATCAACCATCAGTCTTTGCCCCGTCTTTTGAACTTGTTGAATGGTAATCACAAGAAGAGTATTAAGAAGGAAGCTTGCTGGACAATTTCAAACATCACAGCTGGCAACAGGGAGCAAATTCAGGTAGTGCTGGGTGTGTAATTCTGGTTTTATGGCTAGTTTTTGTTTGCTCCCCTACTGCCAACCAGCTCCCTCCCTCTTCCAAAAAAGAAAAGAAGAAAGAACTGGACTACAGTAAAATTAATCTTTCTCATGACCCTTTTTTCTTGGCAATGTTAGGGTGTTTATTTATTTGTTTCCACTTTGTGCTTCTTGATTATGTTATTTTATCTATGCTGCAGTCTGTAATTGAGGCTGGTATTATTGGTCCTCTTGTTAATTTGCTACAAAATGCTGAGTTTGATATAAAAAAGGAGGCTGCATGGGCAATCTCAAATGCCACATCTGGTGGTTCGCATGAGCAGATCAAGTAAGATTTGGATATTCTGGTTTCTGTGTACCACAAGCTGTCAGCAAACACTGACATTTCTGCTCTATTTATGTTATCATTATCTGCAGGTACCTTGTTAGTCAAGGTTGTATCAAACCTCTGTGTGATCTTCTCATTTGTCCTGACCCAAGGATTGTCACAGTTTGTCTTGAAGGGCTTGAAAATATCTTGAAGGTTGGTGAAGCTGAGAAGAATTTGGGCCGGACAGCGGATGTAAATCTTTATGCGCAGCTGATTGATGATGCAGAAGGTTTAGAAAAAATTGAGAATCTCCAAAGCCATGACAATCAAGAAATTTATGAAAAGGCAGTTAAGATTCTTGAGACATACTGGTTGGAGGAAGATGACGAGACAATGCCACCTGGTGATGCACCCCAACAGGGTTTTCAGTTTGGAGATGGCGAGGTCTCTGTGCCTTCTGGGGGATTCAGCTTCAACTAAAGGTCTGCATGTGTTTTTTTTAGTCCACATGTTTATACAAAAATTTTGTCCAAGTGGTTTCATGGGGCATGAATATTATTTCTGTATTTTAGCTACTTTATCAAATTTTAATTGCAGAGTCGCTTGATGAAGCAGTATATGTGATGGAAAACTGGCTCCATCTGTTCCAATTTGAAAGTTGTAAAAGTTGCAAGGCTGAATTTATTGTGATGGTGGGAAGTAATGCCAACGAGAATCAGTTCATCTTTTTACTTGTTGCAGTTAGCTTGAATCATGAATTTGCTCTGGAGATTTTTAGTTCTATTCTTATTCATCTCCTTTTTCCTTTTGTTTTTTCCTCCTCTGCTTTCGCCGGTTGTAGTTTATTATTATTTCACTATTTTATCTTCTGCTGGGAATGTTGACGTTCCCAAGAACCTCTTTGTGCACAGTGCACGGCTTAAAATGATGGCTAAAGCTGTTCACTTTTTCTTGGTGCTGCAATATTGATGTCTTGAATCTTTGGCGTTCTTGTCAGATTGATAATAAAATGTTATTGTATTTGGTTATAATCTAAGCTGAAATAATAATTCTGCTCTCTTCTTCCCCATGCAAAAATACTTCTAATGCTGTGGGACGTTTACCAGATAGCCTTAAGATTTTCTGGTTGTGTGGTTTTTCTGTTAATACTACTCTCCACAGGTCGATTAAAAGCTTTCCTTCGGCAAGACAACGTGATTGTTGGATTCATCTTTTAAGACAGAATTGTGTCTTTCTCCAGAACAAATTATAATTGAATCTTTATCTATATATAATAAAAAACTAATGTGTCAGTGTGTACATGGTGCATAATTGGTGTATCGGTTCAGTTATTTTTTGATTGTACTTGCAATTGAACATGCTGATTGTTTGCTTATTTAATGCTTGATGTTTCTTTTTTTTTTTTTCAGCTGAAAATTTGATTTGTTATGTTGGGCTGTTAATGCTCATTCATATGTTGGTTGTTCTGTTGCATTCATGATTGTTTGAGCTTGTGATATTCTTATCTTATAAAATTTTTCATCTTTACCAACGTAATAATCTTTTGAGTTCTCGTATTCGTTACTCCCTCCGGTCCAAAATACGTGATTTTTTGGATGTTTTCACACAGATTAATAAATTCACCTTTTAGCATTAATTAGCAATGGAATTGACCATATTAACCTTTACTATCTCACATAAACACTCCTAACACATATTCCAACACTATTTACTCCAAGGATAATGTAGGAAAAAAATAATTAATTCATTCTTGAAATCTGGAAAAATCACTTATTTTGGATCACAAGAAAAAGGCCAAAAAATCACTTATTTTGGACCGGAGGGAGTAATTACTTTTGCATTATTGTGTTAAATACATAAAATTATTATCTTTGTCGTCTCCTATAAAGGGATAGTATTAGTGAACTCCATGTGAATTTATTTTGCTCGAATTTAAATATTTACAACTACTATATTCAGTTGTTCCATGATCTATTATTTGATTCTTTTCATTGGTTCTTTAACCGTTTATACCACGAATTTTCATTTGTCTTATTCATTATATATTTATTTCACTTGTGTGGAACTCTTATAATGAGTTCACCCTTATTTTTATTCTAACAGAAGGATTTAATGCATGCAACTATTCACAAGACATCAGAATAAGTTCCGAGAAGGTTGCACGTAATTACAGGTTTTAAGGTGACTCTTAATACTGAAAATTATTTGCCGGTGATGGGGGGTCACATGATATATTTCTTGATATTTACTACTACATTCAAGAAAGTTGATGAAAGACTGAAATCCCGTCAATTTGTTAACATCCCAACTATTGAGACTCGAATTAGTGATAATCGTTTACTTATAGGTTTGTAAATTATTTGTACCTTATTAAATTGTTTAAACTTATTTGCTAGTGTTTTAGTATGTTTTCCATTATAGATGTTATAGGATGTCCGACATTCGTTGTCAGAATGGAGGTCATAGATGGTAATAGGAGCAAGAGAGATATGACGACCATGCTACCGGAGTTAATATACTAATACTGTTTTTATCTGTCATTTTTAAACGTCTTATTTTTTCCCCATATAGATGTAAGAAAGCGAGTATTAGAGCGACACTGCTGGGTTATATTGCGGCACATCGGAAAACAGCTACCTATTTGTTTAACCAATAATAAATCCTAATTAAACATAATAAATCCTAGAACTGAAACACGTTTATACAAATAACATGGAATTGCATTTAAACCAATTTAATACAATGGGTATTAAATGATACTATTATGAGTGAGTGAGGAACAATGATAAGCAATAAATATATTAAATGACAATAAAAGTAAATAGAGAGAATGATTCACCCAAATATTGAATGAGGTGGATGGTGTTTCTCTCTGACAATAATGTAAGACAAATGAACGTGGGAATATAGAGAGCTTTCTCGGATCTGATGCGAGAAAGTGTGGGACAAACAACAAATCGAATCTTTATGGAAAGACAATGTTTGTAATTTACTTGAGAGTTAACTTTTCATGAGAGTTCTTATCATATAGAATATTGCATGCCCCTTTCTTCTCTCTACCTTTCTCTTTATACGGGACATATCTCTTACCTAACATGAAATATCTTGCTACAAAACTAGCCGCCGACCTGAGCATTAGACCTCGACCCCGGTTACTCAGCTTGCCAATAGGTTCCTTCCATCTCGAATACGGCCTCGGCCTAATCGGCTCTTTGTAACCTACCTTTGAGCAAGATTCCCTTGGTCAGATTTTGACCCATACAGTTAGTCCTTCCGCCTGTCGAGGTTATTTTTTTTTGGACAATCTCGGTGGGCGGACTTCGCCATTTGCAACTTGAGAAATCTGAGTATGGCGGTCGAGTACCAGTATTTTTTATGGCGGGGGTGACAACGTGGCGCTTCGAGAGCCACATCTGACTGTTACGTCATCTTTGAAGTGACATCATTTCGTTATGCGTCATTATGGCGCTTGTTCCCGATACGTTACGTCTTTTTCTGCGCCCCTTCCATTTCGAAATAAATGTGGCGGCACTTGGTGTCACGACCCGGATTTCCCACCTTCGGGAGTCGTGATGACGCCTACTAATGAGAGATAGGCAAACCAATCCTTAACTGCTTACATCGTTAACAATTACTTCTTTTAACAATTATCGGCGATAGCATGAAAGCAACAGAATTAAATAAATATGCGCAAGACTTAAATTTAAAGAAAACTGAACAATAATGCGAGAATCAACATATGCCTCTACCCAAGAACGGGTGTCACATTACTCACGAACTTTTAAGAGTGCTAAATACAACCGTTTGAAAGAAAATATAAACAGTTTGTCTCGAATATATAAGATAATAGACGGAAATAAAAGATAGAGGAGACGCCGGACCTGCGAACGCCTGCAAGGCTACCTGAGTGTCTTACTGGACTGAAGGTTGGCTCCCGCGCTACTGCTGCTGTCCAAAACCTGGATCTATGCAAAAGAGCATAGAGCGTAGTATCAGCACAGCCGACCCATGTGAGGGTAAATGTCTGGCCTAACCCCGACGAGGTAGTGACGAGGCTAGGACCAGACTCCAGATAAACCTGTACATTTATATAATATATGGCGAAAAAGTAAACAAGTAATAAGCAGTTAAAGCTGGGGAAGGGGAACATGCTTCTGGGATAGCAGTTAAAAGAAATAACAGGGAATAATAAGGAAGCTAGCACTATAACTTCTATCACAAATGAAGAAAATAAAGGCAACTTTCACTTTCAGTTTCCTCTTGTTGCAGGCGTGCAACCCGATCCCATTTCTCATATCTCGTGGTAGACGTACCACCCACTCCCATTTCATTCTATCTCGTGTTAGTCGTACCACCCGCTCCTATTTCATTATATCTTGTGGTAGGCGTACCACCCGCCCCCATTTCATAATATCTTGTGGTAGG